AGACAGGAGCTGGATTTCAGTACCTCCCAGCGTTCCACAAACTTCTGAAAGCAACTTGCCCTCTTCCTTGTTTATTTTGCTGCAGGTCAAGCCACAGGAAGTACAGCCTGGGCAGGCCGGATCAGAGGGACCTGAGTGAAAACCTGGCCGCCACACAAGGGCTGGCACATATGGTGGCAGAGTCTTCTCGCCTCTTCCAGGTATGTGTTCTTCCAGACTATACCAGCATGATAATCACCTTGACATGTGCAGGTATTGTATGAACTTGCCGATATTCACAAACATAAGGCATTCTCATGACACAGTGAAGGCTGTCTCTATCAAGTTTTTTGAACCACATGTACTTGTGTTGAATTTAGATTATAACAGGCGGGAAAGTCAAGTGTGCTTCTTAGAGATAGTGTCTAAATTTGACAACCTATTTGCATATTTCATTGCTGTTTATCCTCAGGTACCAAAACACTGGTTAATCCAGAACCAGGGCGGCTTGAGTGATGACATTCTTCATTTCGGAGGGGGACAGATCATACCCTCGGAATCCGGGGAGAATGAGCTTGACAGGCGCACTGCGTTAGAACTCTCCATACAGAACTTACTGAGAGAAGCCAGAGAGAAGTTCCGGGGCTGGGTGTCTTGTTCCACCTCGGATCACGTTGAGCTGGCGTTTAAAAAGGTGCGGTCCAAAAACCACCACGCACACACACCTTCTCTCTTACTGCCCAACAGGAACAACAACCAGCAGAGAACACCCATGGCTGCAGAAAAGGAATAGCTCATTGCTAAAAGAGCTTAATGCTGACTGGTTTTTCTAAAGATAAATTGTGTGGTTCTTATGGTCCATGTGAAGTCCTTGCATCGGAAAGTGACATATTATGAACAAAACTTGCTGGTATTAGTATACTTAAAACAGTGCATTTTCATCAAATGTGAAGGGAATGCATTTATTCACTTGGCAGACACTTTTATCCAATGTGACTTATAAGTGAGGCAGAGTACAACACAAACAAAAGTCATACACGCAGTCACAATATTAGAAGCAATGCATGACCAAGTTTCAATAGTTGGCCAGATAAGGTACAAGCTAGCTGGTAGAGACGCTTGGCTGGCGAACTACATGGCTCGATTCCCCCGGCCCTGCTGCTTACCCTACACACCACAGCAACAGAGGTGCTGCGTGACAGCTGTGGCGGGTGTGTTGGGTTGGAGGACGAGGCTCTCAGACTGTCACCCCTGTGCCGGCAGGCGGAGGACGGTCACCCCCTGCGCTCGTGGAAGGCGACGGTGGAGGTGGAGGCGTCGCAGGAGGAGGTCGTGCACCGCGTACTGCGGGAGCACAAGCTGTGGGAGAGGGACCTCCAGCACTGCAGGGTGGTGGAGACCCTGGACAAGGACGCCGAGGTCTACCACTACGTCCTGCAGGGCCTGGGGCCGTGCCCCCCACAGGAACACCTGGTGCTGAGGTAATGAGCCATCTCCCCACCCCCGGTCGCTGATCCGTTGGGAAAGGAAAATTTTACAAAGCTGCAACGTTTACAACCATATAGATTGAGGGGAAAAAAATGAACAAACAAGTCAAGGACACCAGTTCCAACTGGCTGTTTGGGCACCAGACTCGTGACTTCTTGAAACCAGCACCCCAGAAAAAATTGTATACTCTTGAGCAGAGCAATAACCTGAGTCATTTGGCAAGAGCTCTAGTTATGCATGCCTGAAGTGTAAGCAAGCCTGGGATAGGACTGTTTTGCTAAGTGAGTGAAAAACCTAATGCACAGAGAACACAGTCCCTTGACGGTTTGTCTCACTGATTTATGCATGCGATGCGTCCGGTTTCACATTTGCCACAAAGATGAACTTCGTTGCCTCGGGCTGCGAGCTCGTGAGCGCAGATTAAGGCTCGCTCCCATGGCGACCGCGGGAATGCAGTGCTGTCTCGTTGCTGTCGGGAGGGGCTGACTTCCGCGGTCGCGGTTTCGTCCTCTCTCTGCCCCAGGACCTGGCAGCGTGACCCATCCTCTGGCGCCGTCGCCATGGCGGCCATGTCCACGGAGCACCCGGACGCCCCACCCGAGGGCGTGAGGGCCCACGTGCTCACCTGTCTTTACCTGATGGAGGCCACGGGGCTGAGGAAGACAAAGCTCACGCACGTCACCCGGACGGACACTGGGTGAGCGGCACCGCTCAGACATACCAGAGACAGGGAGAGAGAGAGACAGAGAGAGACACAGAGACAGGCAGAGAGAGAAATAGAGAGAGGCAGTGAGAGAGAGAGAGAGAGAGAGAGAGAGAATTACTTTACATTACATTACATGCATTTAGCAAGTGCTCCTATTCAGAGTGACTTCCATTGCACAAGAGCGACTTCCATTGCAGAGAGAAAGACACACAGAGAGAGAGAGAGAGAGAGAGAGAGAAAGAAAGAGAGAGGTATAGAAGACTGGCTGTTCATCTGAGCCATTCCAAGAACATACAATGTTCTTATTTATATGATTTAGTGCTCAACCAAAGTTCCCACAGATTTGCGGCTGTTTAAATGATCAATTTACTCTCTGCAGGGGGACTCTGAATTATTCTAAGGCCCCCTGCTGTTCCATTTGTTTCAGTAGATTTAATGAAACAAGCAATATAATGGAGAACAGGTGTCTGGAGAGCACTCGGCGTACTGTATCAGAGGGCTCTTGCACCATATTCCTTCAGACTGTTCTACTGCTTTACTCCGTATCTGAAGCAGTTGGTTATTCACTTGGAGACAAGATACGTAAATACTTTTAAATGAGGAGGGCAAAAGGGGGCCCACTATCATTAGTGATGCACAGGATGATGTATTATACGCAATTTCTTACTTAATTAAAGGTACATGCTAAAACTAAGTGTAAACTGAGCCGATTACTTCAGCACTCTACAGACTACCAGCACTTGGAAATTTAAATGGGAAGCTCCTGGCCAAGGGCATAGAAAGAATTTACCATGACATTAATTTTATGAGTTCTTGTTTACTGAACAGGGGACGTTTGCTTGCTTCCTTTAGGGCTGGTTGGCTTTAGTTTGTAGGCTAATGGGATTCTGCTCATTAGCAGAAGAAGAAACTGTAAGTGTCCTTGGAGAAGGTTAGCTAAGTAAAATTGTCTTAGGTTGAAGTTTTTAGGCCTGTCTGTTTCCTTCACAGAATGCGTACAAATATTTGCTAATCTGTAATGTAATGTAATCTTTCACCTGCAGGGGGCGATCACCGGAATGGTACAACAAGGTGTACGGACACCTTCTTTCATTCAAGATGGGGAAAATTAGAGACTCCTTTAAACCAGACATGAAAGAAACGAAAATATGAATGGGCAGGGAGAAGACTTCATCCACCGAGAAAAGCTCAGCCACTTTAAGACACTTACCTCCTTTCAGAAAGAAATAATTAAAATGCAGCCGTCAAGGAATTCATTTACATGAAGGACAATTGGGACCCCAGCTGTCCAAAAGCTGCAAGGCGAAATAAATTACACCTCTAGACAAACAGTGACGATTGTTTGATGAGCTGTTTTAGAGGAACCAGTATGTTCGCATTATCAATACTGACAACAGAGACTGTCAGAGTAATGAAATGTCTTATCTTATTTGACTGACTGTTCGAAGGGCAATGCGTTGCAGGAGTTTGTAAGTGCTCCTGTCTCGCTCTTTATTTTAGAGTTAAAACAAGGCTTCTGTGACAGTTCACAGGCATGATGTTTGAACCTACCTCTCTGAGGGCTTCCCTGATGGAGAATATGACATTTGCAGAGGAAAATACTTTGTTGTATTAATTTGAAGAATGCTACAGGCACTCTTTGAAGAATGGGATTGTGGTGTGAAGATTGTTTTGTACTTTACCTACCCTGACTGATATTCAACGAGACAGGTTGCTGTCCCTGTAACTCTTTACACTTATAGCCATTCTCCAGTGCTTCCAAGCACCGTGTCTAATCAGTTTAGTTTTCTATGTACACATATATCCGACTTGCCATGCTACAAAGTGTTCTTGGAATAATGAATTTAAGTGCAAGCCTTCTGAGATGTTAAAATCAAAAGATATTGCTATAGGACACACATAAGCATCATTTACTTTGTAATGGAAGGTAAGTCTGTGGGTGTATATATTTAAAAATGTGTGATCTATACAATTCTATTTTTAAAACAAAATATAAGATTATTTATCTGAATATTTTTATTCAAACAATAACAAAATTTTATTGAAACATATAGCAAGCATAAAGGAAATTAAATAGTTTTCCTCTTTTGTAAATATGTTTTGTAAATTATCTTGTTTTCATGTTTTAATACAATACCCACAATGCACTGCAAACAAAAGCCATAGATCTCAAAATGTATTCCAGAAATACTCTTCTGGGAAACAAAAATTGTGAAACAGCAAACAGCCAAAGAAAAAATATACAGCATGACAATTTATTATATTTCACTCATTGAAAAGAGCTTTTTTACAATTGCAATTCCTTCTCAAATCCAATTATGTTTATATCAAGATGTTTAAATTATTTATACTTTTACACTTTTTATTAATCTAATTTGCATTTAAGTTATTATTGACGCGCATGGAACCATCTTGTGAATTTTATGACTAAATATTTACCATTAAACATTCAAATGACTTTGAGTATTTGTCGGGCCTGAGTTTGAATGAATGTGATGTCAGTATTTGACATGCCTCAGTCATCTTATTGGACAATTTCCAACAGAAAAAAAAATTTAAATAAACCATTCAAAACATTCAGAACTGTGATGCATAAATGTCTTGTGCAAAAAATTTTAATTGGTCTAAGTCATGTCTTTTACCTATAAACAAACAGGCACACATCCATCCACAAGCATATGTACATGCATACATTACATTATTGTCATTTAGTAGACACTCTTATCCAGAGCAACTTACATAGGTTACATTTTCTCATATTATCAATTTATACAACTGGATATCTACTGAGGCAACTGTGGATTAAGTACCTTGCCCAAAGGTACAACAGCAGTGCCCCAGCAGGAATTGAACCAGCAACCTTTTAGTTATAAGCCCTGCTCCTTACCACTATGGTACACTGCCTGCATACATACATTGTATCCATTTGTGTATGTTCACTGTAAAATGACCATTTTCATGTTTCAATACGCATAAATGTAAGATGAAACCGAGGAGCAACAGAAGTGGCTGCAATTATTGGTTTAAATCATATTGTATATGGCAAGCATACACTAATTTATCCAACTTGGATAATACAGGTCCAATATTGCAGACCTTCCCAACTGTAGTGATAGTGTCCATCTCATGACTCATGTTTATCATACATAACTGTTTTGGCTTCAAAAACACAAGCCCATGAGGGTAGAGCTTAATTTGCAGAAAAAAGGGGTAGCCGTTACTACACAACTTACAGAAACCGGGTAAAGTAGTCACTGGAGTAGCGAGGCAGTCGCCAGTTGCTTTACACTAAAATATACAGTCAAAACCCTTGAATAGACTATCTGCATCTTGCTTCTAAGTGTCGAAAAAAGGGAGCACTATTCATTTCTGAATTTTTGGTGCAGTCCCCTGTTTACTGTCGGGGAAACACTACAAAGACTCCGCTCAGAGTAAGAGCGGACACCTTACTTTAATGCTGACTCAGGCTGGTCTTCTGAGGTATACACAAACAGGACTTTGTGGAAGACAAGAGTTGTTGGCTTGAAATAGTATTTTTAACATTTACTCTGTGCTGAAAATGACTACGAACAGGGTCCTCTGTTCATTGAACACTGGTTCATCAAGGTGTTCCAGTAAACACTTTCCTACAAGTTTCTTATAAGGGCTTTTTGTTACTGGTGTGACAAATTATCAAATAAATAAGCAACACTTTCAATTGAGTTTCCATAATATAATAGTTTTGGTAGTTCTATTCATACTGAGGAATACAAAAACCGGGTAAAGCTGGAAGAACAGGCTGGATTACAGATGGCAAGTTCTTTTCATAAACTTGGGGAAAGCAAGTGTTTGAAATTTATTTTGGCTGTGCCATTTCACCCCCCTTTTTAATCTGTGATTTAATTCTTCAGTTCCAGAATGTCAATGCAGGGTCCACGGTTAACCATGCAATGAGCAAATAATAAGCAATGGTCCATTTAGCCACTTTAATCAATTCAATTAATCATTGCGGTGATTATCAGAACAGAACACAACATTAATCACTGCCATTCCCTTAACCTTGGAATCCCTATAAATAAAGTGGAGTATCTACCCTTATCCCCAAATTAAAAATTTCTGTTGTCATTAAGTTGCTTCCAGACTTCATGCTGAATGAAGCTCCATTTATAAGATCGTGTGAGAATCGAGTCTTAATCCGAACCTACCACAATGCAATTCACAGATTTCTTTAAGAAAATTTTATTGGATGATCGACACTGTGGCAAATTTACAATGAGAGCAATTACCGATCTATGCATACATGCATATACAGGCCCCAGATCCAGTACAAAAAGTTGCTTATGGCCAGCTTCCAGACCACTGGTGTAGCTGATCTCGTATTCTCAGAAGCGGTCAGTGCTGTCTGGCCGTGTCCTTTTCCAGTCAGGATCAGTGCACACTTCCTGCACTAACCAGGGTCAGCCTCACGCATCCACCCGGTAATAGAAGCTGACATGGAAAGTCCTGATATAGCTGAGGCCCTAGTCAATATTGCCATTTTGGCAGGCTTTCGAGCAATTCCTCAATTCCTTGGTAGGAATGGTGACATTTATATGAAGAATGACGAGCGCACTGCCAAACTCTTTTTATAAGGAGTCATTTTTCTTTTATTCGGGATACAGTAAAATACAAAGTGACATTAATGGCGGTGAGATTGTTTTCTGGGTACGGGGAGAGGCACTTGTGCGGTCACATCCTCTGGACGGGATTGATCCCCAGGATGTCGAAGCCCTTGGCCATGACGAGCGCCGTGGCGTCGCACAGCAACATCCTCCACATGTTCACCTTGACCACCTCACCTAGGAGTGCACAAATTAAAGGGAAACTGGTTAGACCGCTCTTTCGATTGCTAGCTTTGTCATTTGAGTTTCAACTCAAACTTTTTTTTTTTCCAATGCAACACATCTCACTGTTCTGCATAACTGCTGTGTAAAAGGCGGTGTTTTAAGTCTGCAATAAACACATTTAAAATACCCATTAGGTTCACAGCCACAAGGAAAGAGAAACAGAGACTACAAAGGAAAAAAGAGCCAAGAAGAATATAAACTGGAGAGGGGGGGGTGGGTGATCCACAGCAATGAAGGCCAGAGGCACTTCCAGGCCCTAAATAAAAATTATCCCAGGAGTCTCAGAGCAGTGATTGTTGTATTTTGAAAGCATACTATGAAATGCAAGAAAACTACTTAAGTAGTTTTTTTTTGCACCAAATTCAAAAACTTAACATAAAACATAACCTGACATGAAAATTAGAGGACATTACAGGATATATCAAGCTGAAAGCAAGATATTGGCCAGAATTTATATTTCAACAGTGTAAATAGTATACACAGTGCCCATGCAGGTTTTATTCACCGATTTATTTCCATAATATATACCCAGTGAAATTGATCTATCCAATTGCACAACTGAAATTAACAACTGCCCGATAACAACCCCAAAACTCCTTCATCCCCCCCGCTCCTGTCCGACCACCGCAACACACAAGTTAAAATACCCCGGCCGTGTATTTATAGCAGTTATCCAAAATTATTTACAACAGCTATGGAAACTTGTGTATCACGTCTGAAGTTTATAGTCTTGTAATACACTAAAAGCACTTAATCTGCTGGCTGTGGTTAATGTGTCCTATAATTCACCGCACGAAGGAGGGAGGCGGCCGGTGCTCTCAGCAGGGCCGTGCACAGAGCGCCAGCATGCTCTTACGTCTTATCGGGATCCTGGCTAAATAGTTCTTCAGTATTAGAGATTCAGCCCTGCTAGGATAAATGCAAACAGATGGAAATATTTAAGGGAAACAAACAAGGGCGTCGTTTTTTTCAACAAAACACTGGCGCGCGTTACGGGGACGTCAGCCGTGGCCTTAATTCATAAGGTGTTTCAGGAAGAGTAAAGACCTAATTTGGTGTGTTGATGACATTTTAGCGTTCTAGGACATTATTACCGATGCCGATAATAATAACTTTTCACTGTAGAAGAAATCAGCAGCAGCGCTAGAAAACATAAATTTACATTTATCAGCCATACTTTAGCCTTTCCTTGACAAATAACTCCCATGAGATAAGTACAGCCACAGAACTGGAGGGTGAAGTTTGAAATGTAAGTTCGAATGGATACAAAGGTGGACAGAGTAATTTGCAGCTAGATAGCCGCTTTTCTGAGGCACCACCATGTCTGGCACAGAAGCACACCTCATTACAGAGCGATGCCTCAAATTGGTCAGGATAACAGCTGAAGAGGTTGGCGATTCGAGGCCTGAGAAATGCACATAACTGAGAAACAAGTAGTGATTAAATATCTGTGGAAAACGCTCCCCCGTGATCCTTTTTTTCATGATGTCCCCCCGCTTTCATCTCTTCTGAAAACCAGAGTCTTTTACCAGCAATAATGAGGTGCTTGGTGGAGTTGGAAGTGTATGGTCAGCACATGGACATTTATGTTCTGGGAGGATCATCTGGGTAACTTTTCCCATCCACTTTCTCATATCTAACATATACACAATTCTATCTCAACCCTATTTTTTCAAAGCCATTTGGCTCAAACAAAAGATGGTGCTGTCCTAAGATTTTCAAGAATGATGCAATGACGCAGTGATGTTGTGTTTAACGAAGGATAAAGATGACTAGGGAAACTCAAGGAGAGATAAAGGCCCAAAAGAAAACCCCTGCTGTTCGAAAGAGAGTGAGAGAATGGGCGAGATATTCAGGGGTAGCTGAATACCAGCACCAGAGCTCTGATAATGAAGTACAAAAAGAGAGAGAGAAAGAAAGAGAGAAGGAAAGAAAAGAAAAGCAGGCCTCTCCTGAAGCCTGTGCTCTGGGGACCCACCGGTCTGCCGGTCCTTCTCCACGCAGTAGCAGCTGTCGTAGAACTCGGTGAAGGTGGTGGCCAGCTCGTACAGGTAGTCGCACAGTGTGTGCAGCAGCAGGTCGTCCAGGATCTTCTGCAGGATCTCCGGGAAGCGCAGGATGCACTTGCCCAGCTTCCACTCCTTCTCGTGGTCCAGCACCACCTCCGTGGTCTCCGCCGCCTTCCGCAGAGTGGCGTCATCGATGTTGGCCAGGCGGGCGATGGACCTGACAGACAGACAGACAGACAGACAGACAGACAGACAATGCTGAGGTCCTGCCACACCAAGCCCTACTGGGAACTGTTGTAGTAAGGAATGATGGAATAGATGATTGAAAGGGGAGAATGGACGAATGAGTAAATGAATGGATGAATGGGAATGGGTGAATGGGTGAATGGGTGGATGAATGAATGTTGCTCATTCAACTTGAATGGATATACTTCTGTTCTGTGTTACTGGAAGTCACTGTATAAGAGTGTCTGCTATATGAATGTAATGTTATGTAATGTAATGAATGAATGACTTTATTCTCCACACAAAGTGCAAAATTGTCTTTGGCTTCACTTGGTATAAAAAAGTAGATGCATCAGTAATGCATTAAAAACAATTTTAAAAAGTCCGTTGTAAACCTACAAAAGAGCACATGCTCGCCACCTGGACATGGCTGAGGTCAAGCTCAAGCGGAGGAACGTTTCTGTTTGCCGCGAGCAGATAGATCACGGTGCTTTTTCTGGCCGTGTCTGCAGGTCGCTGTCTAACTGTCGCTCTTAGCAGCATCTTCCACAACGGATGCCACAATATGCGATCAATCTCCCTCCCACACCCAGGCTATCGACGGCATCACTGCTGCCTCCTGTGTGTGCTATTGACTGAGAAGGGGGCCACCCATAGTGCAACTGAATGCCCTGCTCTTTTCTCACTCTGGCAGAGGAAAGAAAAGCACATCACCCCACCCTCACCCCCACCACCCCGGGGGGAAATGGATCTGGCTCAGGCTGGCCCGTTTCCCGGTTCCTTCCTGCCGTCACACCACGCTGCA